CTCTGCCGCACCTGGCTGAGCTTGTTGATGAGGAAGATGCCCTTGCCTTGCGACCGCGAGGACGGCTTCATGATCCATGTGGCGCCTCCACCGCCACCGCAGACTCCACTCCCGCCGCCGCCGCCACCTGCTGAGGCCCCCGCCTGCTGCTGCTGATGCTGCTGTTGAAGAGAGGAGCGGCGAAACTCCTCCGCAAACAGCATGTAGTCCTACAGGAGAGCGGCAGGTGGCAGCGCGAGCCCCAAATGGGGAGCCAATGGAGAGGGGCCCCCCCCCCGGTTGGGGGCCCCAAAGGAGTCCCAGGGAGAGGCCTTCCGCGACTCTCCGCCGCATTTTGTTTCGCTTCGGCCAGCCCCACCCCGGCACAGCCAGCGTGTTCTCTTTCTTCATGTTCTCCCCCAAGGATCCTCTCCCGTCGTTTTCTGTTTCCTTGCCGATCATCAAGCTTGACCAACTTGCAATCCCTGGGAGAGCCACCACGCCTCCCAACTCTTTTATCCCAATAGCGATCACTCTACTCAATGACAAAGCGCTTTGATGACAGGTTTACAGTTCATTGTAATAATGTGACCAAAGGAAAGACTTCTGCCGGCGGCCTTACCTGCGGCAGCACAAATGTGGTGGGGATGATGTCCAAGTCGTCCGGATTGCCTCCCCCGCGCTTTATCTGCTTCTGGTAGCGCTTGATGTTTTTCACCATAAGGTCCTGATATGTGTGGGAAGGAAGGCGGGTAGTAGGAGGACAGAACGCGAGCCCGCAGGCGCACTGGGGGTAAGCTGAAGCCAATGCCATGGCCTTGGGCAGCAGCTCTAAGTGATGCAAAATTGTCTAACGAGGAGGATGGGGGAGGAGAAGGAGGAGGGTTCACACTTAATCTGAGCCGAGTTGGAGGAAGCTGTGCTGGGTACCTTTTACAAATGTCCGTCCCATGCGGCGTCACGAGGCTACTCGCCAGTTGGCATCCAGCGCGTTACCACGGCTCACCTTGCGCGTGAGCTCATAGTGGTTTGGAAAATGGTTGACCCGCTGGTGTGGCTGCAGGCGGGTTAGGACGTCAGCGAAGAGCGCCTTTATGTTTTGCACGTTCGCCCACCAGAGGTCCCATCCATCCGTGTCATCTGCTTCGTTTGTAACGTCTACCCAGCCTCGTCGACGAAAGTTGCTAATAAGCACAGGCTTGTCGAGGTCGCACTTCCACCGAACACTCATGGCTCAAACACAACACAGCTCCGGCTGGCCGGAGCTCGTAAGCCTATACAAAAGGATTTAGAACTCCATTACTAAAAAACAAGCACTTGTCCATCGATTGCTTTCCGGCTGTCATAAGTCGCGCCGGATCGCATCCGTACACACTTTGTCATTTACGTACCAGACGAAACTACTGAGAAAGTCTGTCAACATAGACGCTTGTAACTTGCAAACCTGTGATTTCTGTGTTCGTAGCAAACGTTCAGGGCGGCGCACGCCATCAGCGAGGCTCAAAGTCTTTTGCGCATCAGTACAATAGATACATGGATTGATAGACAAACTTCTCATCGAACATGTCACAGCGACATGCGGCGTTCGGCATCGCGGGCATCGGGTTCGCGCTGCGGAACGCCGTGCAGCAGGTGCGCTCGTGCTTTGCCCCGCATGGACGTGGGCCGACAAGCAAGGTTGCGTAACTGCATTGCAACCTCGCCGATATAAGCCTACACGCCGCTACATGACCGAACACTACGTGGCTCCTGGGTGAACAGGCGGGCGGTTGGTACGCCAGGCCGACGGGCTCCCTGATCACCGCACAGCCGAGCACCAGCTTTGCGGCGGCATGCGTCATGAAGTAAGTCAATGTACTGATATTGGTGTGTGTGGAGAAAGGCTCCTTCGGATTTTGGGCCTAGGGGGGTATCGCGGCAGCTTGCTTACGGTGCCGCTGGCGGTGACGACGCTTCTGTGAGTTATGGCGGTGCGGATGGTGCTGGGTTTGTGGAGAAGGTTGGGTACTTTGCTGTGACGTATTGTACTGGGTATATTGACCCGTATATTGAACTGGGTCTTGGCACTGTGCACCCAGCCACCAAGTGCATTACCACATCCGCCACACAGCGCCACTGCGTACCTCCCTCCCAACTCCCGGGACACTCCACTGCAGCCCCGTGCGGTCCCTGGCTCGCCCCGCCAACTTTACTGGCTTCGACCCCTGGTCGTTCTTTGACTACCGCAAGTTCGTATATCCAGACGTGTACGACGCAAACGAGGCGCTACTGTGTAACCGTTACAAGTCCCATGGGTCGGTTGTGGAGCGGTACATGCCGCCCAAGCCCTTCTCCCATTGGAACCCGCTTCTGGATCCGGAACTGGATCGCAGAACCAAATATTTTAATTTCAGGTGTGTGTACTCTTGTGTCCGCGTCTCTCCGCCTTCGCATGGTGTCCAGCCCCGCCCACGTGTACACCACCATGGGTGGCTAGTGGCTAGTGGCGCAGTGGAACGGCCCCTTTTTCTTGTGGGGGCCTTCTTTGCGCGCCATTTCGGCCCATCCACTTCAGCACATAACATACTTACATACGCACGCACCCATTGCCTTACCTCATTAACCTTAATCATAATCATGATTATAACCGTCGTGAAGTCCGTCGTGTGCCGCATCCTTGCCAGTTCCTGCCCACGGTCGAGTTTATGAGAAAAGCACACTCAACCTGCCAGCCTCTACACTCCACCCTATCCTACGTGTCCTCATCACCACCCCGCATAGGTTATACACCAGCTTTGTGTGCTATCGCTCTTTGTGGGGCTTCAGCAAGACCGACTTGCAGAGCAGAGTCCTGGCGGCGTACAAGAGCGTCAACCTCGCAATTGCCACCGGGGATATGAGATACGCGGAGCCGGTAGGGCGTAAGGAAAGGAAAAGGAAAGGGGCCCCACACACCGACCACCCACCCCACACCGACCAACCCCACACACCGACCAACCCCACACACCGACCAACCCCACACACCGACCAACCCCACACACCGACCAACCCCACACACCGACCAACCCCACACACCGACCAACCCCACACACCGACCAACCCCACACACCGACCACCCACCCCACACCGACCAACCCCACACACCGACCAACCCCACACACCGACCAACCCCACACACCGACCAACCCCACACACCGACCAAGCCCACACACCGACCAACCCCACACACCGACCCCCACATCGGGGCAGTTGCGTCATGACTCCGTGGGTTCTCGTCATGTTGTTGGTGGTGGCGGTGCTTTCGGCGTCCCCAGCTGACTTGCTTTACGTTCTGGCCCCTTTAATAGAGGTAGAATGTATTTCCGTCTTTCCCTCACCCTCTCCCTCACCCTCTCCCTCTCCACCTCCCTCTCCACCTCCACCTTCCTCTCCACCTCCACCTCCCTCTCCCTCTCCCTCTCCCTCTCCCTCTCCCTCTCCCTCTCCCTCTCCCTCTCCCTCTCCCTCTCCCTCTCCCTCTCCCTCTCCCTTCACCTCCCTCTCCCCCTCCCCATTCACCTTCATACTCCTCAAGTTCGTCACGGAGTCCATGTTGTTGCGGCTGACGGGGGAGGTGACACGGCGTGGGCGGGCCGCGCGTGTGGAATGGCGCATGGTTTCGGAGCCTGACCCGCGGGACATCAAGCTCGTGTGCGGCACCGTGGTTCAGAACCCCCTCAAGCAGGGCCGACTGCACTTCGTACAGTGGACCGCCCGGGTGCCCTCGCGGCAGGTCGTGGCGGTGTACGACGCACGTGGAAACCTGATTGCGGGTATGCCTGTCTGTCTGTCGGTATTGTACATTTTTATAGCATCTTCTCATTTCTGAGAGGTGTTTGAGAGAAAGAGGGGCTGGGTAAGGGGGATTGAGGGACCTGGGGACGACACAGAGGGCACCGCACATTGTTTTTAAACGATCACACCACCAGCAAGAACACACGAGTTGCATGTCGAGGGCCAGGGCTTACCATTGCCGTACCATTAATAGCCGTACCATTAGTTGGCGTACCATTAGAAACGGAAAGTCAGGGTCTGGCCATGTAGAAGTCCGAGGAGGAGGTGCTGAACATTTTTAAAAAGAGCTTGTTTGTATCCATTTTTCCCTACACACACTCTCTCTCTCTCTCTTGCTTTGACCGCCCTGTTATGCACGTGTTGTTGGCTCGGGGCTCAGTGGTGGCTCGGCCGTGTTGTTGACTCCATGGGCCGTGTTGACCCGTGTTTTTGTCTTTGCGCCTGCTCCTTAGTTTGCTTCTCTCTTCGCCCGCAGGTGATCCCCACAAGGAGTTGGACGTGGTCGACTACTGGGTGTTTGAGCGGCCCATACTCAAGGCGTTGGTGGCGCCGCGACCCGGGCCGCAGGGCGCCGAGTGGCGGCTTTTGGAGCGGCTGCAAACGTGATGTTATGTGATGTTTAAACCTCCGGATGAATGTGATGACCGAGAGATAGAAAAAAGAAACATAGAGAGAGAGAGAGGGAGAGAGGTTTGCGCCTGCGCTTTGTTTCGGAATGGCAAGATAGCAGCTCACCGGGTGCGTGAGCTTTATTGGTGTAGTGATAGCCAGCCGCGTACGCGGCATAATTTTTTTAAAACGCGTAGCTGGTTGGTCAGAAAGGACGTAACGGCTATTCCGCTCGTCTGCGGAAAGGGATGGTTGTGTGGCAGGATGCGGCGATATGGTGGAGTTGATTCTAGTTGATGCATTGCCGGGACAGTCTGGCTGCTTCTGCTTTCGATCTTCAGTTTGTGGTTGAAGATCTGGGTTAACCCGGGGAAATGTGAAGTGTGAACCGAAGTTGGGAATGCCTCCGATGACTGACGCGGGCGTGTGGATGTTGGTTCTATCTCGTTTGCGTCTCGTTATCTTCCACAGGGCGGTTTAAAGCAGATTGAAACGGGGTCCAGAAGGGGCCAACTCACTTTGGTTCTCATATCAGAGAAGAATGGTAGCGAAAAGTTTAATAGCGTAAAATCTAGCTGCATGATAAGAATCCTTGCCCAGCTTTGCGGGATCAAGGCTGCTTGCGAAAATGCTATAAGTATGCGACTGATATAGAAGGCTTGATTAAGTTATGAAGTGGGCACGTGCGCAGTAGTCACATGGTGGAGCTAGGATGCGTAACAGTTTCATAGTACGGCATTCGTCCAGTTGTTGAGTTTCACTTAAAACTGCCGCTGACAAATTTTTCGATCATGGAAGACATACGTGTTGGACCTGTTAGTGCAACTTCCGTGCTGGTACAGTTAATGCATTGTGTGGCGTACATGAATTATCGCTCAGGAGCTGACTTTAAAATTGCAAATACATGGATGTTTGCGTTAAAAGAGCTATGTGATGAACATAACGATATCTTGCTTAGCCAGCAACTTGTCCTGATCAAAAACGTGCTGGAGCATATCGAATAGCCGTATGGGAAGTGTTCCGGGTAGCCCGCAAGCATCATCTATTATTGGGCCCATCGGCTCTCGGGTCAGTAGTTTCTTACACGCTTTGCAGTCTCCTGTCACAGGTGAGTCAGTTATGGCCACCGTAGCTGCCCAGTCTAGCAATCTGCGTAGCTCAAAGTAACAGTGACTTGGCATTCCACCGCATCAAAAGTTGATTTATGTTCGATGCATCACGGCGCTGCTTGCACGCGTCGGCTTTGCATGCCAACTTACGCGACAAGCAGGCGCTGCGAAGTGCAAGTTTACCAATGGTCCCAACAAGTGTAACAAAGTAATTTATGGTCAATTTATGCTTGTGCTCACTGCGGATGCGGTAGGCATTGCGCGAATTGTCGAGAATGACCGCGCTGACAATTGCTCGAGCGCGCCTGCGATCCATGCTCCGGGATGCCCGTTCTGCAGGCTGTCGAGCTAAGCCACAGGAGGAAGGCGGCGTTGGTGCTGACGCTCTCGGCCTGCTGTGCGGTCAACAACCGTCTTCGACGGCCAGCCAGGTTCACGCAGATGCCGGCCCCAGCAGCAAAAGCCCGCTCCCGATCTCAACGACCGCCGGCGCCCCAGCAGCCATTTACACCCACCATATCAACGGCACCGGCGCCGGCGGTGGAAGCGACGGTCGGGACCTGGCTCTCTTAGCGCCAGCAGCACATATGCTAGCAGTGCTACGACTGGGTCCAGCGCCAGAGGATGGCCAAGACCGCAACTCAACAACGACAGCGGCGTTGCCGACAGCGTCGTGCCTGCCAGAGTCACTGCTGTGCTGGCTGCCGTACTCAGCTTCGACGGCCCATCAGCGGTACGGCAGCCGCCGCCACCATCATCGCAGCGGCCGCACGAGCGGCAGCAGCGGCTCGGAAAACGAAAGCGACGGCAACGGCGGCGGCGGCAGCGGCAGCGGGCGAGGAGCCGGCGGCATACTGAAGCTATATGAAGCCGATGGGGAACTGTACGAGCAAGAAGACGATGCTAGGCATGCAGATCTGGATCCAGATTCGGAGTACGACACAGCTTACAGACGCAACGGTCGCCGGCCGGTGAATGCGACCGCAGCGCTATGCGGCTTGGGTTGTCGCCGCCGCTGTGCCCACGGCCACGATCGCCGCAGTAGCAGTAGCAGTAGCAAATGGCGCTCTTCCACGGCGTTAGCAGCACATGGTCGTCGTGGTGGTGCCAATGGCGGCGGCGGCGGCGGCTGTAGCTGCACATGGACCGTTGAGACTGTGTCAGGGGGGTTGTTAGGGGAATCCCGCTGTCCGGAGGCGTATGCTGAGGCGCTGCGCAGGCTGATGGTTTCGGAGCGGGCTCTGCGGAGGGCGATCCGCAGTGCTGCCAGGTGCGCGATTTCGACTTTGATCATTATTGGGGACTGGGGACTGGGGACCTGAGAGCTGCTGCATGGTGGTGTACGTGTGCGCCGCAGGTGTGTACGTGCACATTCCATGTTGAGCTGCAATGCGGCTGCGCGTGAAGGGTACTGGGGGCTTAAGGGTGCATGTGCGTGATACATACATACATACAGACAGACAGGCAGACAGACAAAGAGAAAGAGGGAGAACGAAGGAAACGGGGCGAAAGAGCGTGGCGGGGGATGAAGGCAACGGGGGAACCGCACACAATAACCCAAAGGTCGCAACACTCGTCGCAACACTCCGGGGCTGCCCAGGCGCCCAGGCATTCCAACACGAAGACGATCCAAAGGCGCAGGCATACGGTTGGTGTGGTGCCGGGAACGTCGGGGTCTCCCTGGCTGAGGATCCAGGATTCCAGCTGAGTCGAGCTTAGTTGAACGAAGTGGATCCAGAAAGTTGAAGGCGAAAAGGGAGCCCCGTCGGATTTTTTTTCATGTCAAACCCCCCACCAAACCTTTACTGTTCCCGCTTTGGATCGAACCCGGGACCAAGCAGGGCCGCGCTTGATGGCAAGCTGTTCGAGACCACGATGATGCTGGATTGCAGTGGAGAGGGCGGTGAAGCCCGGGACATGGCGGCCGAGGCATCAGCCGAATTTTGGCGTGGGCTGCCGTACATTCAGGTGCGGAGGACCCATGTACGACTCTGCCAACGGCTGCCACTGCGGCAGAGTCAAACAGATGTTGTTTGAACTGCTGGGGACTGCCTGGAATACACCGACCTCAATCTGTGATCAACCCCTACCTACATGCCCCTACCTGCCTACCTGCCTGCCTGCCTGCCTGCCTGCCTGCAGATTCAAACATGTCTGCTGCCGCCAAACGGCGCCGCTGCCGCCGGCATCTCAAACTGCACGATGCAATCGTACGGCATGCCGCACGATTTTGACGTGACAAGGAGTGGTTACAGCGGCGGTGGCGGCGCCTGCGGCCTCCGCATCATGCACTGCGCTGTGCCGCTGCCGCCGTCAGCGGCCGCGCCAGCCGGCGGGCCGTGGGGCGGCGGCGACGCTGCCATGGCCGTCGCCATGACGGCGGCAGCGCAAGTGGCCACGCTCGGCGTCAAGGGGCTCGCGGCGGACATGGCCCAGGGCCTTATCACCGTCATCGACTACACCACCAGCGCCATCCTCTACCAAAACAGAAACTCACTGGTCTACATGGTAATCGAACCCGGGACCTGCAGAGGGCGTTCGGGAAAGCTTGCAACTTCCGAGGTGTCGTGGTGGCGAGAAGATAATAAAAAAGAAAAGAATACAAGCCCGCGACACCAAAGTGGTTGCAAGAACCTATGTCCTTGATGTTGATGCCCGTGTAAAATAGTAGAGGGAGGGGTCTCCTGCCCTGGAAAAAGGGCATTAAGGAAGGGACTGTCAAGATCTGGACGTGAGTGCACCTTGCAAGCATCGTACAGGCGCCGTACTGTCGCCTCTCCCTTCCCTGCTCCACCCCCCTAAAAATCTTTTGTTTCATGCATTAATATACATTATTACATTTTGTTTTACTGCGCAACGGCACCTAACAACAGATGGTAAAACGTGACTTAATAAATATGGTAAATAAAAAATACAAATAAAAATTAATTATTGTCTTTGTTTCAGCACACACACCCCTGCTGGGAAGGATTCACGCGCTCGCGGCCAAGAAGCCTCACGTCGATGCTCGGTTCCTTCTCTCCCTCCCCTTCATCGGCCCCATGGAAACCGTCAACAGGGCGAGGCGCCGCCGCCCGAGGTCATGCTCGCCGTAGAAGCCCGCGAGCAACAGAACCTGCTGCATCACCACCATCACCATCACCACCATCACCATCACCACAACTACCACCACCACCACCACCACCAGCCGCCGCTACAAAGCCGGCGGCAGCGGCATTCCCAGCAGCAGCTGCACCCCCACCCGCTGCCCCGCAAGTCCCACTCCCTACGCTCCCGGGGTGGTATGGGGGCAGAAGGCGCCGCTGCTGGCGGCGAGTTCGGCCCTGCGTCGTCGTCGTCGGGGTTGTTCCGGGTACCGTTCGTACTTCAGGAGCTGTTGCGCCACGAGCCCGGGGCCTTGGAGCGCCTCCAGGCGTGCTTGGAGGCTGGGGAGGTGGGAAGGGGAGGGGGGAAAGAGGGAGCCCTGGACATACATACAGGCCTGGGGGCATGTATGGGCATGTATGGGGCCTGACGTTGCTGCGATCGATGTAGGGTTGACGGTTTTTGGGGAGCTATCGTTCTCCTGGGTCATCGTCCTTTCTCTCTGGCGTCGAAACTCGACAAGCTTCGACTTCTCTGTCTGGCCATCCTTTGCGCTTAAGTTACCAGTGAGATTGTGCATCCGTGCATCTGTCTGTTTGTCCTTCTGTCTGTCCTTCTGTATGTGTTTTGGTCCAAACGACAGGAATTTGAGGAGACGGTGCAGGTGCCGGCCACGTTGGCGCCCTTCCTGGCCGGATTGAGGGCCTCCCTGGAGAGCTACTGGGTTCCGCCAAACGCCAACATCACCGCCAGCGGCGGGGGTGGACTGCCACTCGCCGGGGGCGGACGGCCGGCGGCGGCGGCGGCGGCGGCGGCGGCAGGAGGCCCCGTCGAGGCCCGCCCGCTGATCTCTACGGTGTACGACGGCACCAGGCTGCCGCTGTCTCCGGACGTTGGTGCTGGCGGCGGTGTCAGCCTCAAGGACTTGCCGCCGAGCGCTCAGCAGGCCGCGGCCTGGTTCCTCGACAGCATGTCCTTTTTTCGATCAAAGGTACGACCGCAGCAGCAGCAGCCACAACAGCTGCAAAGCGCGCTGGCGACACGGCGTGGGGAAATCAGCGTGGCCTCCGGAACGTCGCGTTTGGGGCGCATGGCGCGGCAAGGCGACTTGCCGTCAGGCTCCGGGCCGCCGCCCATAGGGCTGACGCAAGGGCTGACCACGGCGGCGGCGGCGACGACGACGACGGTGGCTCTATCGCCGCGGCACGGCGGCAGTGGCGACGCCGACGCAGAGTGTTCCGGTAACGGTGCGGTGGCGGCGGCGGCGGCATCGGCGGCGGCGGGAGATGCCGCCACT